CTAACAGTGACTATTATGACTATTATGATTGTAACAGTGTTTCTATATCTGCAAAACAGGAATAATTACAGGAATATCAGTGTTTTAAGAATTAAGTGTTTTGAGGAATGTGTGTGAAATCTTTAAAGTTATATGTAGAACACAATGAATATTTAACAGTACCTATTTTCAATATTATTATTTCTCCTAGGAAAACTGGTGAGCAAAAAATTTATTTCCACAAATCTCCATTTAGCATACACTCATGAAATTTATAGTTTAGTAATGAAAACAGGCAATAGACCAGTCTATAAATGCACATTGTGATAAATTCTACGAAACAGTCTCCTGGTAGAACACATGATGGGTGGGTGGGTGGGCAACAAATGTAGATAAGAGTCAGAAATGGTCTCTATGATATGATGTTTGTATTGAAACATGCTAAGTAGTAGATTGAGGAGTGGAGCAAAGGAAAGTTTGAAGGCAGAAAGGATAGATTCATGCAAAGGTTCTGGAGTTTGGCTTGATTTTCAGAACTCAACTAACTCAGGTAACATGATGATATAAGTAACAACAGATTTCTGTATTAATGATTACTTTAAGGCATGGGATTCCCACTAAACTTTACAGCCTCTGGAGGCTTTACAGAATCTGGAGTAGCTGCGGGTCCTTCTGCATGTGGCAAAGGAAGGGATAGAGATTTATGAGATATAAGAAGTGGCTATTCAAAATTTAGAGTTAACAGTGGAGCAGAAAATCCAACGCATGGGAATTTTTAATAGAAAAGGTCTAAGGTATCATTTTCCCAAGTATATGTCTTGAGAGATTTATTTTGACCTATAAAATACTTTGCATATGAACTCATTGCACTTCTAAAATAGTAAGCCAAAACTTGTACCAAGAAAATATTAGTGAAACCAATGTTATAAAAGAAAGAAATGCTGAAAATGTAAAAATAATTGAAGAATACAAATAATTAATTTTTTAAATTCCACTGCTTACTGGTGTTAAAGAAAGATAAATATACATTCAGTCTTATTATGCCAAGCACCTATAGGTTTAAAGATACCTGAACAAAAAGACAAATGCCTTTATTTCTCATCCAAATGTTTGCTGTTCTACTATCCTGGGTAATGACTAGATTTTCCTTCTCACCCCTAAACTTAGAACTTTATTAAATATATGGAAATCTGAAATACCTAGGTGGAAATTTAAAATTTCAGAAACTGCATGATTAATCTTCACAATGGCAAACATCCAGAATATGTACCAAAATTAAAATGTCTTGAATCCTGTACACAATTGTGAGCAACCTCTCATCGAACAATCTCTATGCAGTATTTGTTCTGTTTTATAAGCCACTTTTGTTCTTCTAAATAGGATTGATTTCTACTTCTAATTACAAATATGAATTCATGTTTGTAATCATGCCTAAATTCAAATTATGCATAAAACTGTAATGAATAATCTAATATACAACATGAAGATTCAGATTTAGATCTAAAGTAGTAACCTGAGACTTCGCATTTTTAAAAAATCCCACCCCAACACATACACATACACATACGTACAGAGCCAAGAATAAGTACCATTGATCTAACCATTTTATTACTGAGATTCTCAAATATTAGTATGTATGTGAATCATTTGAGAAACTTGTTAAAATAGCAATTCTTATCCCGGGGTCTTCGTGTGTCCTAGAGTCCTGCATTTCTGGCAAGCTCCCAGGCGATGCTGCTGCTGTGGCCCCAGGCTCTCACTAAGGTGGCTTTCTAATAATTTTTTGAATGTTTTCAAAGATGAAATCTTTGCATTCTTTTCTGACACTATGACTCATAAACTATCATTCAGTTGACAAAAATGTCTTTATTATGGTTAGTTAATTGAAGGGGAATTTTAATTTCAGTTATTTCCCTCTATACAAATATTTTCTGATTATAAGTTACCAAGAGAAGTAATAACCTCTAAAGACTGTTTCATGCAGGTAGGTTCCTTTAGCCAGAAATTCAAGTATGTGTGCTCTCTATCTGCTCAAATGTTGAGTGAACTCCTTAAATCACTATCAATCTGTTCTGCCCAGGTACTCTTACGGGGTCCACAATTCCACAGCATGTCTCATCTGATGGTCAGACTTCGTTATTCCTAGATAGCTTACCTGCAAATGCAGAGGTTTTTTTTTTTTATGTCCAAAGCACTCTAGAGAAATGAGCTGCATAACTTTAATAAAAGAAGTTCCTTTTTTTTTTTTTGAGACAAATCTGGAAACAATCCCAGATTTATGCATCAGCTCTTTTAATTTAGACCTCAGCTAGAAAAGCTGTGGAAAAGAACAACTTCATTCATTTATAATGTAGATGGCCATAATTTTTTTCCTGAAAAACATTTGTTTTTAGTTCTTCTCAGCCCTTATTGTATTAAAAGTCTTGATGCAGCATACGTAGATGTAGGTTTTTGTTCCATGTTTGGAGCTGGTGTTATAAATCTAGCAGTGGTCACTTGATAAAATTATTATAAAATTATGCTATTGATTAATTAACAATATAATAATTGTTATGGACTTATTTTCAGTACTGTGTGCTACGCACTGTGCTAAGCACTTAAGCATTGCCTTAACCTTACATAAGAATGTAATGTGAGAACTAATATTAAACCTCTTTTAAAGCTGAAAACTTTCAGGCTTAGCAAGGTTAAATAACTTGCTCAAAGTCATTAACAGTAAGTGCCAGGCTAGACACAAATTGAGAAAGCAGAGCTGGCCTTTCCTAATTCCCAAGTATATACTTTTAAGTATTTTACCTCTTGATGGCTAAGTAGACATCCTGAAGTGTTAAATAAAAGTTGGTGATGACTCTGAGGGAATTGTTGGAGCAATTCGGGAAAAGCAGGCTTACCTCTAAAAAAGTATCCCTTATGTTTTCACTTTATGTATTTTCCCTCCTGGTCTGCCAGATAATCATAATAATGGTAATACAGCATGGTTATACCTGATTCATTTATTTGTTGGTATGAGGAGGTGCCATAAACAAACAAACTGAACAATTAGTACATATCCTCTTTCCTTGAAGAAAATTTAATAGGGTGCATGTGTCTGATAGACCTAAAAGAGAGAGAGATTTTTTTGAAATGGCACTTTTGCATGAACGATGTAAATGGTAATAAATTATATTATGGCATCTGATGAACCAACCATATTGTTTTCTCATGAATTATTAGAGGGATTTGAAAATTACTTTTCCAGAGAGCTTTTTTTTTTCCTCAACCAGTAAGATTTGGGTCAGAGGATTAAAGCTCTATTAGGCAGAGTTCAGCAGTACTCTGGAGAAATGATGAATTGAGGCCCAAGAGGGATTTTTCTAGCAGCAAACTGGCCTCTGCTTGAATGGAGGCTTTTCTCTCTGAGAGCTGATAGAAGCATTGCTCAGCCCATCATACTCACTATGGGCATTCTGTGAAATTAAAGATCGTTTAAACTTCCTATGCTCACTAAAGTACAAGATGTAAGACACTGGGTATGTTGGGCCTTTTGCAGATGTATTTTTATAGTGTTTCCTAGTCACAAAGCTTAAAAAGAATGAAAAAAGATGTTACTATAATCACTTATTAAGTTGACCCATGGCAATAATTACTCTTCAGATGTCAACCTCTATCTTTAATCTCAAACCAGATTAATCACATAAACATCTTACTTCTGCAATATTAACTCAAGATCTATATATGCCTATGCACAGAAAACATGTATGTGTTTGTGTACACACATACATACAGACATAGGTATGCATATTTAGCTACATTGTATGTGTATATAGATACTTGATGACTGAGAATAAGTGAAGAAAGGTAATAAATCTGGTTGGAGAATATATGAATATATACATTTATTTATTCAAGGTAAAGGTGGCAGTTATGTGATAGGTGACAAAATTCATTTTATACTGTTGTTTAGAAAAACAAGGTGAAGATAGGAGCAGGGTGGGAAATATTATATTTCAAGTTTGTATTTTTTTTTATTTTACTTTAAACTGTAGAAGTAGCCAATATTTATTGAGTGCTTATAAAAATGAAATGATAGCTTTTGCAAGGGTTTGTGTTGCCCCTCGTCTGGAAAATATCATCATCTTGGCAGGGTTATCTTGGGACTTGAGTTAGGGGGAGAGGTAAGCTATAAGAATTCTAATCCCTTTCCAGAGTCATTCTCAGGTGGCTTCCAGCCCAGTTGCTAAAGGGGTTTCTGATAGGTTTGGGCATAGTAAATATAATCAAAGAATATTATGTGGCTTTTTGATCAGTTATAACAGGTCATTTCATTTCTATGATTGTGGTACATTAACCATCGGTATGAGTTTCCAGCCTAGAAAACTTTGCTATGACAAAGGGTGGTTTAAAGTCTGTAACCACATTTTTCTTCATAGTACCAGGTTCTTAACAACCAAAGATAAATGAACTGCCCTTGCCTTCAGTGCAAGTGAGGGGAAAAAATATGCATAAACACACCCTGGGGGAAGCAAAGGCAGAGAGACTGAGCTCTCTCCTTAGTGTTCAATTTAGTGGGGAGAGACATGTCTGACAGTTCATGGGAGGGAATCTAATTTTCAGTCTCTTACTTTATTAATAAGTTGCAACAAGTGAACTCCTCAAAGGAGGAAAGAGGAGACATTATACCTGAATTCTTAGACTACATATGATGGTTTAGCCATCACTTTCACACAAATAGTTTTTTTTATAATTACTTCAGGAGGCTGGAAGTAGGCAGAAAGAACATCAAATATGGGAAAAGTAAACATAGCTAGTGAAATATGGTGTATTTGTACATGGGAGGGCAAAGAATTCTGAAAAACTAAAGTGGGCACTTGAATAGATTTAGTCTCTGTCTATGCAGTTTTATTAGAATAACCCTCAGATGAGATTTTCAATGTAAACATTGTTTCAATCCTGTTTTATTTATTCTTTTCCACTGGTGGTCTGTGGATAAAAGTCAACTTGAGTGTAAACTATGTGTTTTTTGACCAATGTTTTTTTCTTAGCTTCACTAGCCAGAAATCTGATGATGACTACGAAGATTATGCTTCTAACAAAACATGGGTGTTGACTCCAAAAGTTCCTGAGGGTGATGTCACTGTCATCTTAAACAACCTGCTGGAAGGATATGACAATAAACTTCGGCCTGATATAGGAGGTGTGTTAGTCTTTTGTGTTGCGCTATAGATAGGGTCATATAAAATTATCTATTTTATTAGAAAAAAAATCAGTGTACTTCAAGAGCAAGGAAGACTTAAACTATACATTTTTGTGTGTTGTAAAAGTAGTGTTTAAATAGTATACAGGCCTAGGAATGGGAGGGTGTCAGTAAGTTTAAAATGAAGAAATATTATTTTCAAGTGAAGCTTGAGAGCTAGAGCTAGAAATTCAAATATTCCTAGATATCTCAGACTGAGGCTGTAGGAAAAAAAGCAATGATCCCTTTATGAAGCAAGGTAAAAAAATCTCCAGAGCTTCTGCACAGCAAAAGAAACAATCATTAGAGTGAATCAGCAACCAACAGAATGAAAAAAATTTTTCGCAATCTACCCATCCGACAAAGGGCTATTATCCAGAATCTACAAAGAACTAAAACAGATTTACAAGAAAAAAAAAATAAAACCATTCAAAAGTGGGCAAAGGATCTGAACAGCCACTTTTCAAAAGAAGACATATATGAGGCCAACAAACGTATGAAAAAATGCTCATCATCACAGGTCATTAGAGAAATGCAAATCTAAACCACATTGAGATACCATCTCATACCAGTTAGAATGGCGGTCATTAAGAAATCAGGAGACAACAGATGCTGGAGAGGATGTGGAGAAATAGGAACACTTTTACACTGTTGGTGGGAGTGTAAATTAGTTCAACCATTGTGGAAGACAGTGTGGCAATTCCTCAAGGACCTAGAAATAGAAATTCCATTTGACCCAGCAATCCCATTACTATGTATATAGCCAAAGGATTATAAATCATTCTATTATAAAGACACATGCACACATATGTTTATTGCAGCACTATATACAATACCAAAGACTTGGAACCAACCCAAATGCTCATCGATGACAGACTGGACAAGGAAAATGTGGCACATATACACCATGGAATACTATGCAGCCATAAAAAACGATGTGTTCATGTCCTTTGTAGGGACATGGATGAACCTGAAAACCATCATTCTCAGCAAACTGACATAAGAACAGAAAATCAAACACCACATGTTCTCACTCATAGGCAGGTGTTGAACAATGAGAACACATGGACACAGGGAGGGGAGCATCACACACTGGGGTCTGTTGGGGGGGATACAGGAGGGACTGTGGGGTAAGGCAGTTGGGGAGGGATAACATAGGGAGAAATGCCAGATATAGGTGATGGAGGAATGGAGGCAGCAAACCACATTGCCATGTATGTACCTATGCAACAATCCTGCATGTTCTCCACATGTACCACAGAACCTAAAGTGCAATAAAAATATATAATATATATATATATAATTAAACAAAACAGTAACAGTAAAGAGAGGATATGTTGTTTGCTTGTTGCTGTGTAACAAACAACCACAAAATCTCAATGGCATATGACAATAAACATTTCTGTTACACTCCCCTGGGGGATATACTAATCTGGGCTAAAGCAAGCTGGAGCTGCTTATTTAGGGCAACTATACTGTACATGTTTCTTGTTCTACTCCTGGGACCAGTGACTAGCTAGGAAACCACTTCTCATAGCAGAGTAAGTAGAAGCTCATAATGCTGAATGCTTAGTCGTAGCACTGGCACACTCACTTTTGTCTATATATTATTAGCCAAAGCCAATCAGATGGTGAAGCCCAAAGTCCAGAGGGGGAGGAATAGCCTCACCCAGGAGAAGGCAAGAATGTGAATACCAGTTATAGAGAAGAATTCAATCACCACAGAGAGTTAGGACATGATACTTTCAAGGAAAATAAATAAAGAAGAGACTAACACTCTGGTTGTTCATTAAATGTTAAATAAAAATGGAGGCCATCCATTTGGTCATGGATATCATAGTACAGATTTTAAATATCATTCGTCTCTGTCCAATAGGTGTATAATGGGTTTCCATATGATTTTCTCATATTATCTATGATATCAAAGTGTACAACAAATCATTAAGGAAGATTAATTTTGCGTTGGTGAGACATATATGAGGATAATGTGGTCATAAAAGAAATTAACAGGGAACTGTGATCCAAAAACAATTTATATTACCCATTTGATCTTTATGTCCACTTCATGTTCCTAATGCATATTTTTTTCTGAGTCATTAAGAAATTATATTTCTATATGGGTCAAGTCAGGGACATGTCCAAGTCAATTTCAGAGCTTGAAGGAATCATGGTAAAATTCAAAATATCTGAGAGAAAGGTGGAGAAATGCTAAGGGTAGCATTTTCTAATTTATTCATTTTTATGTTAGTTTTAAAAGGACAATTGGTTTCAAAACTCTACTATGCTTGCTTATTGCATGTGCATGCTTTAAAAAGATTTTTTTAAAACAAAATAGTTATTCAAATGTGGCAAATTAGTATGAATTAGTACAAATTAGTTATGAATAAATTACCTCTAATGTAGCTAAATAAATCTATTCTAGAAAACAAAGATTAAAACGTTAAAATCTTGTACCCTTCTATGTGCAAACATTTCTGTGTTTCTCTTTACAGTGAAACCAACATTAATTCACACAGACATGTATGTGAATAGCATTGGTCCAGTGAATGCTATCAATATGGTGAGTTTGCAAATAAAATTCTTTGTCTATTTTATTAGCATGTTTGAGAGAAAATGTGGTGTCTTGGAAATAGTAAGGAACATGCCAGCAAAAAAATTTAAGTTTAAAACTTTTGAAGTGAAATATAGTCTTCCAGATCCCTTTTTTATTGTAATATAATTAAATTTTAAGTATTTTTGTCATAAGAATTAAATAGGATCATACATATATAATTAATTTGTGTAAATATGTTATGCTGTTGAAATTCAACAATTGGTGTTTACTTTCCAAGTTCTACTTTCTACAAAATAAGATATAGTACTCCACTACTTATTAGAATATTAACGGTGTGAAAATAGCATAGTTTGCTTCAAATCAGAAATGTTTCTCAGATAAAATCGTGTGTCAGATGTAATAACGAATGTAATTCTGTTCCTGATGTAACACTTTCTACCCAAATGTGAAATACAAAACTAGACTGGAGTCCATGATATTATAGAGAATGTAAAATATAGTAGAGCCCAATGGAGTACAATATAATATAATGTAACATAATATTCCATATTATACAATATTAGTACAACGATATATTATAGTGATACTCTAACTTTAAAATGGCATTTAGCAAGTAGCAATAAAGATACTCTGCTGAGTCAGAAAGAGATTGCTATGCCAGTTGAGGTGACACACCATCACCTGCATACTCCAAGCTAATTAAGTTTGCTTGCTTAATCATTAAACAAATTCGAACTTCTTTGTAGCTATCATTCGCAGAATCTTTAGAGTTCTTATATAAATTATAAATATCTAAGAAGTAGAAGCTATATAGGTAGTTTATTTAAATGCAGAACTGTCTTTTGTTTTAGGAATAACAGTCCCCAGCACTGTTCTACCATCACAGTTTGTGAAATACTGGTTTTCAAAATCAAAGGTTTTTATTCATGGCTTTTCTGGCCAAAATGTAGAACAGAAATGAATTAATTATTCTTTCTCCTGGCACATCACTAATTGGTTGATAAGGGATTTCATAAAACAGGCTCTTTTCTCATTACTTGCAGACTGTAAAAATGAAACTAAATGGTGAACAAGGGTGAAATGGCTTACCGGAGTAGAACTGTAGCTAATCGCAAGGACACCCAGTGGGAGGTGGTGCAAGGAAAGAAAACAGAACAATGTGAATGAGGCAAAAGACTCAGCCCTAATGGTCTGAATTTCACACTGTATCTGCTTTTCTTTTGCTGAAGTCAAGCTCTCTCCGGCTTAGTGATATGTATACTTGATGGAAATAATTATAGTAATTTGTCACTATAGCATTTAAGAATGCATTTTGTGATAGAGATTAGCACAGTATTAGAAATCATTTTTAATTGGTTAATTTCCTCTTGTTTAGAGAAAAGAATATTATAAATAAATAGTGAAAAAAACACCCTCTCTTTTCTTGGGTGTTTGCTATCTACCAGGCATGATGCAAAGCACCTTTTGTTGATTCCGCTCGCTTTTCTATCCTAACAAGGACTATTCAGTTAGGTTCTTCAGGATCCCCATGTTAATATAGGCCCAATTGAACTTCCAGATTTCCTGCTTAGGACTTTTTTCATATTCTGAACTTTGTTTCACTCTACAGCAGTGGTTCTGAATCTGGACTTTTTTTCCCTCTCAGGAGACATTTGACTGTCTCTGGAGGCAATTCTAGTTGCCATTACTTGGCAGGATTGAGGGTGGGTTTGGAGGTTGCTACTGTCATCTAAAGAGTAAAGGCCAGAGTTGCTTCTAAACATCCCACAATGCACAGAACAGCCCTCATGGCTTAATTAGCTGGCCCAAAACAACACTGCTCTATAGACATGGAAAGTAACGATTGTATCAAGGCTACGCCCTTTTGCCAGAAATCACTTTGACAGGTCTACTTTTTCATATAAGTATCAAATATAGCTGCAAAAGATGGGTGAGATGGTAGACTCCTCAGCAAAACTCCAGCTTTCTTTTGGACTATTCGAAGCCAAGATAGCTTTGCTTCATACTGGCAAAGAGAAGGAGTGAAATATACTGATATTTAACAATATGATCTTACTGTGTACACATTTTCTGTTTTATCGTTTTTTTAAAAAAACAGGAATACACTATTGATATATTTTTTGCACAAACGTGGTATGACAGACGTTTGAAATTTAACAGCACCATTAAAGTTCTCCGATTGAACAGCAACATGGTAGGGAAAATCTGGATTCCAGACACTTTCTTCAGAAACTCCAAAAAGGCTGATGCCCACTGGATCACCACCCCCAACAGGATGCTGAGAATTTGGAATGATGGTCGAGTGCTCTACACCCTAAGGTATTCTGTTGTGAAAGGAAAGGAGGAATTGTTAGAAGAAAACAAACAAAAAATGCAAAAATCAATGATAAGTCTCTAAAAACAGAAACTTTAAGACTACATCAGAGTTGGCATGTTGGATCAAATAGTATATGACATCACCACATTAGTTTTCTTCTTTCTGTTATCAAAGCACTAATTGTAGGCAGAGCTTATTTCCATGACTGCTGTGAAAACTACTTTTTCTCAAAACTGACCTAAAATTTCCTCTGCCTTTCAAGATCATCCGACCTTTGTATCTGTTCTGGTTTTTCTGTGTATGCATGTCCTGGTACTTTAGAACACAAAAATTAAAACACAACTAGTCATCCTTGGGACTGCCAGCTCTTACGCTTGGAAATATCCTTATTTTGAATGACATAGTTGCTAAAAGAGAAGTTTTGATGTGTATGTCTCCATACATCCTTCTCTTTTTAGCTTCCCAATAGCAAGCACCTAGAATCTATTGTATTTCATCTCCTGGCACCCCTCTTCCCATTATGTTAATAGGCTGTTTAACTTAATTTATTGTCTATCTTGGGAGAAAGTTGAAGGAGCTATCTTTCAGTCTCTGAAATTAAATTTAAAAATTAGAGTAAAATGCTACTTTAATAAAATAATGATTTTATGCCATTATCTTAGCACTTGATAAATTGCATTTAAAACATTTTACATGGAAGTTTCTCATTGGTGGGAGTACATTATTAGACAGAATAATAGATAAGTACATAGGCTTAGGAATCAGACATCGACTTTGGTTCTTAGCTCTGTCTTACTATCTGTATGAACTAAGGCAACTCTCCAGCATTTCTATGTAAAGGGGCTTAGGGACAGCTGTCTGGTAGCAGGACATTCAGCGTTCGAAGCTTTGTTTACATAGTAAGCATGATGTTTTTACATAGTTACATTTTTATTTAGAAAAATTAAGTGAGAACTGATGGAAATTATTGGGAAGTAAAGCACAACCACGCTGTCCCACTCTGTACTGTCTCTCCTTCTACCTTGACACCACAACTGAGCAGACTCTTATCTTTCATTTCTTTAATTTCTATAAAACAGAGATATTTATTCTGATGTTACAGATTTGCTATAAGGACAAAATAGGTTAATAAGTAAAGTGACTAGTGTAGAGCCTGATACATAGTAAATATAGAAAATATTAAAATTATTTGTATATATTTTCAATCAAAATAAGAATACTACAATTCTAAATCTTCGTATCTGAGAACATCTAGCTTCAAAATGATTCATGTTAAATGTGATTGCTCAACATACAAAATATAATACTTGAAAATGGCTCCAAAACCTTTATCAGTTATATCAGTTACCAGGAAAAAAATAGCCACAATTCCAAAATAAATTCATTCCATGCCTTTTATATTCATCATGGCTTTCATCAACTTAGAGATATAGTAATAACTGAATTTATTTTTATATATTTTTATTTAGACAGGGTCTCACTCTGTCACTCAGACTGGAGTGCAGTGGCATGATCTTAGCACACTGCAACCTCTGCCCTCCAGAGGTTCAAGTGATCTTCCCACCTCAGCCTCCTGAGTAGCTGGGACCACAGGCACATGCCACTATGCCCTGCTAAGACTTTTTTGTATTTTTTGTAGATATGGGCTCACTATGTTGCCCATGTGGTCTCTTACTCCTGGCTTCAAGCACCTCAGCTTCCCAAAGTCTGGGGATTATAAGCATCAGCCATGGTTTCTGGCCAATGCCTGAATTCAGAATCTAGTGGGTACAAAATTCCCCTGATACATCAGAGCCCAGTTCAGCTTTTTAAATATGAAGTCAATCATACTATCTCAAATGACTTTATTGTTCTCAAAACATTGTAGTCATTTTTGGACTTTTGTTAATTTGTGGAATCGCCCATTAGTTAATTATTAAAGCCATCTCAAAAGTGTCACTAATGGAGATTCAATCAAAGCTTGAATGGTTACTAGCCTATATATATAGACGATTTTGTTCTGGCTATCTAAAATGAGCTATGAGTGTGTTTGTGTGTTTTTGCGCATGCCCAAAGACATTTAGAACTGTATGTATGTTTGTATCTGCAATTATATTATTTGCAATTTGAATAATTCCAGTTTAATTTGGAGTAATACTATTAAAATATCAAATTTAATTATAACTTCCTTTTTGAGTAAAACTAATCTTCCCTTTGAAGAGCATATAAATATACAGTAACAATTATTAAAATCTCCATCTTTGAAGGTAGATAATCCTTGGTCCAAATTTCAACTGTGCCTCCAGTTATATGACTTTGGAAAAGTTCAAGAAGAATAAATACATAATAATACTTATTAAATGAGGAAGCAATTCACTCTATCCAGTGCTCCATAATTAAGGGATTAGTAATTATTAGATATATTTTAACATCAGTAATTGCTCCACTGTATCATAAAATAATACATTCTTAATTCTTTTCAATTAAAAATTATACTAATTGGATAAACTCTTAAAAATAGATTTTCATAAAATAATTTCACTGCATCAACAGTAGTATCTGTACAATGTAAGAAATATAGCTAAAATATAACATTTTAAAAATAATCAACCCATTGCCATTATAATTTGAGATTATATTCATACTTATCCAAATGTGGTCAAGACATCTGACTTTCAATTCTCTTTCCTGGAGTTCCAGCCCAAGACTTGAGACTCAGAAAATCTGTATGCTTTAGTAAGCCCTGCATACATAAACTAATTAAGTCTCATTGGCAAACATTTTTCAAATGTATCTGCGTATGTGCATTTAACATTTCTTGTTTGCTATTAGGTATTCTTCTACCCTATAATATCCTATTTAATGACATCCTCTAGAATATCTTATTTAGTGACAGTGTAGTGTAGAATGTATGCCATGCCATTGTGTAACACAGGTATTTTTAAACTCACCTTTAGCAATTAAAGCTAATAGCTAACAAGTTCTTACAAACAGAAGGTCCTGATTTAATTAGTAAATAAGATCTTAGAATTATCAACATTCATTTACAAGCAAACAGTAAATGAGCTTAAGTTCTTGAAACAGTTGGTTCTGTTCAATTAAATATATTCACTGAGCAGCCTCACCTGAGCAACTAATTTGCAAAGAGAAAAACCAAAACCAAAAACTTCAGTGATCATACATTTTTAATAAATATAGTTGAGGTAAATAAGATGCTATTATTTGGTCTGTGAAAATGAACAGATTACATTAAGTCTTATGTAATTTTTTCCCTGGACTTGGTGGATTTCTTCATCGGGGAATACTTTGTGTTTTCAATCAGAATGTGAGGTTTTCTCTAGAAAACAAAAACAAATTATCATTTAAAATTGTGCAAATTTACAATTTAAAATTATGTCTAAAATCCATTTTATGTTTGATATCTTTCTACTTAGGTTGACAATTGATGCTGAGTGCCAATTACAATTGCACAACTTTCCAATGGATGAACACTCCTGCCCCTTGGAGTTCTCCAGTTGTAAGTAACATTTCCTCTATGTTTGCGTCCTCCCTCACCTACAGTCTTTCTGATCGCAGTGTTAATTAATTAAAAGAAGCATAAAGAATTGCAAAGTCATATTAAACTATGTTGTTGACTTTGATGATTTTGACCATCTATCTAATCATAATCCCAGGTCGCTCTGATTAAGACGATTCCGGCAAAAGGACTTATTTTATTAAGAATTACAAATAGTTTTCATTGAATTGCGAACTTTTAATAAAGTGGCAGTGGTTGCCTAGAGGCTTTTTTTTTTTTTTTTTGTAATGAATTGTAAGTCCAAGTCTGGACTCAATAGAGAGGGTGCAGTCGTTAATTTATATCCTCTTCCTTTTTCTCCTATGGGCCTAGGAAGGGGCGATAGCAGCACACTGCTAGTTAAGGCCTACCCCACAGCAAAATTATTTCATTGATAAAATATATGTGAACTGCTACCTGACACACAATAAGATCAAATATGAAACCATTATTGTTAAATGATTATTTTTGTCAGATAGATAATAGAATGTGGCAAGGGGATCCATGATGATCTAACACAGATTATGCTTTAGTAACCTTTACAGATATATCCTGCCTGAACCAAAGCCAAGCAAACCTAAATTTCCCTACACATTTTCTTTACTATTTGTTCAGCATCTGTGAAAGGTCAATCACCCTTTTGCATTTTTTGTCTGCCAGTTGTGCATATTGGGCAAAATAAAAATCTGATTTGAGGTTTTAAAATTATGTTTGTAGAAATGTAATTTCTCCACAAGGGTGTCTGCCAAAGTTGATGACCAGAGAAGTAATCACCTATTTATCACTTCATCAATACCAGAGGCAACCAGAGGAATATTGTCACTGTACATCATATTTATCCAGAAAAATTCTCATTATAAAACTTATTCCATGTTTTACCAAATCCAAGAATGAAATATATTTAATTATAAAATTAAGGCTTCCCCAAACTTTAGAGAGGTTAGCCTTCCTTTCTTTTAATTTTCCAAGTGAGACTACTTCTTTCTTGCATCAGCTAAAACTCAAAAAACTGTTGATTCCTGTGCCATCAGGTGGCCAGTTGAAAACTGTCCTCTGAACCCAAACAAACACGATTTACAAAATTTAGTGTTACTTATTGCTATCAGAATAATTCAGTTACCAGCACATTCTCTGCAGAACATTGTCTCATATTATCATTGTTTTTTTGTTTTGTTTTGTTTTGTTTTGTTTTGAGACAGGGTCTTGTTCTGTTGCCTAGGCTGGGGTGTGCAGTGGTGTGATCCCAGCTCACTGCAGCCTTCACTTCTGGGACTCAAGTGATCCTCCCACCTCAGCCTCCAGAGCAGCTGGGATTTCAGGCACATACCACCATATTCAGCTGATTTTTGTATTTTTTGAAGAGATGGGGCTTCATCATGTTGCCCAGGGTGTACACCATCATTGTTCTCCTCAATTTTCATCACATCCTACCGTAGCCCTCTCTATCCCCTGCAGCATTTCTCTAGGGACTCCTTTTTTCCCCTCTTTAATTAATGTAAACATATAATAGATAAAGCTGCATCCAAAGGAACAGAAAGGAGGAAATATGTGAGATTCTATTCCATGTACTCAATCAGTGTTCATAATCAAACTAATCTTTGATTAGTATTATTTATTATTACATAATTATTATCATTATTAGTATACCAATTGTTAAAATTATTTCTGGTTTTTTATTTATTTTCTTGAAAAAGCTAATTCTACAGTTGACTTCATAATAATGTTTGTCCATTCAACAAATATACATTGGCCATCAATTCCATGAGATAAGTGCTATTATCCTCCCTATAAGGGAACAGACACTTTAGGAGGAAAAATATACACTTGTCCTGGGAAATGGTACTCATAACCACGACTTTATCTCGCCTCCCTGTATTATGTTTTCAATAAATATTTTCTATCCGATTAGTACAAACTCATTGATATCTTCCTCTTAGCATTTCTACTTACTGCTGCCTTTAATTGTGTATTTCTGTGTATATTAAAATGGAATCCTGACAAGTTGAGAAAGAAAGATAATAAATAATTGAGGTTATTTTCTCCAACTATCCTCTACTTCAAATGTATTCTTTGGAGAATTTGAAGTCTATTCTGATCTTATTATTTTCTGTTTCTATGTGACTGAAATCTTGCTCTGTGGACTGCCTTTTATTATTCATATTTCTACTATTTATTCTAGACTGGTCACTTTGTATGCACTATTCCAGATGATGTAAACTATGCATATGCCATATATAAAGCCACATGTAGTATTCTTTCTATATCATTTAAATGATTTTCAAGAGTCAATTTGACCTTTGTACTTTAAAATATTACTTCCCATTAGGATGGGATGTCATTGTAATTTACGTCCCCACTGCAATGCGCTTTGGTCCAAGATCTTCACCAAGCTTGTAACTATCACTAACAGCCTTTACCTCATGTCCTGTTAATAGATGATGGTTGCCATATATGCTAATTTATAATAATTTTTAATGTGAGCTTTCCTATCTCACGGCAGATGGCTATCCACGAGAAGAAATTGTTTATCAATGGAAGCGAAGTTCTGTTGAAGTAGGTGACACAAGATCCTGGAGGCTTTATCAATTTTCTTTTGTTGGTCTAAGAAATACGACTGAAGTAGTGAAGACAACTTCTGGTAAGATGCACTTGCAAAGAATTTCAAGTGACCCTTCCAGAGTTGAAATTGTGATATACATGATTTGGAAGGTTTCTTTCTACGAATGATAATCAGAAAATTAAATGAAGTGTTTCAATTTTCTAGAGAAAATTGTAATTGAAATTCAAGTAGAATAAATATAAATATATTCTATCAATTTAAGCAAATTGGATTCAAATTGGATTAGTAAATTATTCCCTGATTTATTTAAAGAAAAATGAATATCAATTATGGAAAAAGAAAATATTTATTAGATGTACTTTTTTTTTTTTAGAAAGTATGTTTTATAATAGAGTGAAATCACCACATTTCACACAGTCAGAATGATTTTTTTACAAGTGAGCATAGTGGAAATGGATTCAGTCTCCATTTAGTAGTTTAGTATTTTAAACTTGTCCATCCGTGGATAGCAGACCAAGCGTTGAGTATCAGCGAGGCCTGGGTTCAAATCCCAACTGTATCATTTATGAGCTACAGCTTATAACATTGGGCAAATGTATTGGATCTCTGAGATCAGCTTTTCCAGATACCTAATATGCATTTTAAAAATTGCGTCACTAGGAGACTGTCTGTATGCAAAATATGAATAAAATAAAATACTTAGAATGATAGCTGGCATGTAGTGAGCACTTGGTCAATAGTAGCTCTTACTAATATTAATTATTATTATGGGATGTGAAGGAGGCATAATATGGTCAGGAATAAAGTAAATATTTTTATATGGAATCTTGAGATTTGTAATAATATCAATTAATTGACATAAAACCCTATGCCAGGCAGTTAGATATGTTTCCAGACCAGATCTGTCTCGTGAGTGGCCTGTTCGAACTCTCAGCAATGCTGCATATATTCTCCAGGCAAATTACTCCACTATTCCTTTTAAATTTTTGTTAATTTACATATGTTCAAATTTCAAATACAAACATTGTTCTCAGCTTACCACTTATTAAATATCATTTGAAACATATTTTCAAGAGTTGAGCTGTTTTCTGTTGATTTATTCACTTACATCTGATTATTTTCTAGAATTCACAGGACATATTTTTTTGTACACAATAATTTGGAATCAGGCTTTGTTCTACCTTATAGAGAGAAGCAAATAAAGGACCTACACAAAGATGGAAATTTATGATTCTACTTTTAAAAGAAATCATCCTCCAAATCAAAGAGTTATCTGGCTATAACACTGTTTTCAGCATTTGCAGCTATCTCATAAGGGAAGGCTCTTTTCTTTTGAAAACAATAATCTGAAAAAATATCCTAGTAATGCTTGAGTATATTCTTTTAAAATGGCCTTTTGTTCCCTTATTTACAAGAAACTTGACCATCACATACTAAACAATCTTTCATTTGGTTCAAAAAAAGTTCAGAATTGCCTTAGAACTGAAGTCTTCTATCTGTGAAAGAAAAAAAAAACACATGTAAAGTTAATCTCCAATTCTTCATGCTTCCAGAATGAGAGATTGGGCATAAAGTTCTGTTGTATATTCATATTTCTATAATTATTCCAGCACTCTAAAACAGAACCCACAAACTCATGACTTGATGATTTCTTGTTTAGTTGTTTTGAGCCAAAGAGTGGTATGAAGGCCTAATGGCGGAGACGGAAGCTTTGATTTTACATCACAGAGCCTAACCTTACCCCTCCCCAATGCCTCTCATGTGGGGAATGATCCAGGGAATTTACTACCTATTAAGAGACACTTGTGGGAGAAAATCATCTACTTACCTTAATCACAGCAAAAAGAATTAACCAGGTCCCACAAGGCTGTTAATCTTCCCAAGGAAATCACAGCAAAACAGTATTGAGAAGATACTACATTTCACATTGAGTACGATCATGTAACTGATCTCAACTCCTTTGTGAGTCTTAATATTGTGGATAGCCTTCACAGTTGGCCTTCTCTTCCACTCCTAGTTCCTGCTGGTTGGTATTTTGTGTGTTGTACTACTTCAATGGGCACCTTGAAGAGAAAGGGCGGAACTGAAAATTAGTGTTGATAATCAAAAAACAGCCTGATTTCTGTGACAGTTGATTTTTTTTATAACTAGAAGTTTTTGCTTGATATTTGGTTGATTTCTGATGCTGTTCTTATCTTCAAAGCATAGCTCTGTAACTAATGAATATCTACAGGGAAGTTACATTCACAACTTTCTTGGGAAGTTATCAGGAGCTCAATCTTAGTCAATTATAATGTGATTTTCTTTTAGACTTGTGGTAAATGTATCTCCCTTTAAGATGCCTCTTTTGTAACTGGGCAGGAATATTGCCAAATTTTGACATAACTTAATGAAGGATTTTTTCAACCTTTATTCATTCAAGCTTTGTTATATCCAAGTAGTGACTGTACTTCTAATTCCTAATTATTTTTTCTTTAAATTGATTCATGAGGGGTTTATTGAAAGTAAAATGAATTTTATCATTTTGTTTTAACTTTTATTTTAAGTTCAAGAGTACATGTACAGGTTTGTTTTATAGGTAAACTTGTGTCACTGGGGTTTGTTGTATGGATTATTTCATCACCTAGGTATTAAGCCTAGTACCCATTAGTTTTCCTGATCCTCTTCCTCCTCCCTACCTCTACCTTCTCAAAGGCCCCAGTATCTGTTGTTCCCTTCTAGGTGTCCATGTGTTATCATATTTAACTCCCACTTATAAGTGAGAACATGCAGTATTTGGTTTTCTTTTCCTGTGTTAGTTTGATAAGGATACTGGTTTCCAACTTTACCATGTTCCTTCAAAGAACATGTTTTCATTATATATGGCTGCATAGTATTCCTTGATACATGGTATTTTTAGTGAAATTAACTTTTAAAGGAAATTTGTATAAGGACTATCACTGGAAAACCAGGACATTTGATAAAAATATAAGTGATGCAAAAATATGATTTAAAAACAAGTGAATACTCTTATAATTTAAGTGCATATATTTGTGTTCCCTAGACTTTGAATATGTTGAAAATCATAGAAAGAGAGAGTAAAAGATATTAGAGCTTGAGTAAAGTGCAATTTGTACCAAATCAAAACGTTCTCTTTGATATAAACAGAAGAATAGAAGAAGCATTTCATATGAAAGAATTTGCATGCCAGGTGATTGAATGCTAGGTGAGAGTCCTTGCGTCCACCATCTGGATCATCGCTTTTATTATTAGTTTTATCTGTACTACAGGTGAAAAAAATATTTACCCTGCAGTAGATTGATAAGATTTGAAGAATATTTTTAATTTATTGTCAATATGCTAGAACAGATTCTGGATCCATGAGTTCTTCTTCAAACTGTAATTCCTTCCTGATCGTTCTATATCTGGTAAAAGAACCACCATTGCCCCAGTGAGCCAGGCGTGAACACTCAGAGTCATGTCTCTGCCTCCCACATCTAATGAATCATGAAGGCACTTATGCTTCTGAAATACCTTGTGTAACTGTCCTCTTTTCAGTTGCCATTGCCACTGTCCCAGTTCATGATTTTGTCTGTTCTCATCTGGAATGTGTCAGTAGCTTATTAAGTTATGTGCCTGCTGTCAGTCTCTCTTATCTCCAGTCTATGCTTTTCACCTTAATTATGAAAGCTAGCACTTACTAAGCACTAACTACATGCACCATAGCAAGGACTATGTGTGAATGATCTACTTTATCATAACCATAGTCACACTTACTATTATTAACACAGATGGTATCACTGCAGATGAGAAAATTGAGACTTCGAAGGGTTCATTTACCTGCAGGGAACAAGTGCAAGTACAGAGACAGAAACTCAAATGGTCTGCTCTGAGATTCATGCTCTTAATCTCACTATTTGACTCCCATCATGGCCCAGTGAGCCCCTGATATACCCCTTGCATCATGTCTCAATAATCCAGTGGGTTCAATTAAGCATAACTGTTTCTAGTACGTAAGAATCTGATCTCAGGAACTTTCCGACATTGTTTTATATAATTCCCCAGCTTGTGAAAGAACTGATCTGTTAATATTTTTCTGTGATTAACTAACCACTCTTACACTCACGTGGAATCCTAATCTCTTTCTGTTTTGAGTGGCTTCTTAATGCATCACTACCGTCTATGACTTTAGGGCTTAAATCAATGGCATCTCTTCAACAGTGCCTTCACTGATCTTAACACCAAAACAACTAAAACAGTTTTTAAGAATGTTCACCATTTGAGTTCGACAGCTCAGGTTTTAACACCAGCTTTGCCACTTACTAGTGGCATGACTTCGTATAAATCCTTTAATATATCTAAGCCCAATATCACCAGTATCAACAGGGTTGCTCCAAGGATTAAGAAAGATACTGCATTAAAAATGTGCTGACAAATGGGAAGCACTTGACAAATGGAAGGCAACATTATTACGATTATTATCACTATTATTATTATTTCATTAACTCCTCCAAGAGCATTTGCACCCACCTCAAGAAAACATGATTTCTGCCTCGTGTTGCTTTGGCACTTGTTTTACCCTCAGTCCCTGACCCATTACTCCACTACATAATCTTCACAGCAGAAACCTTATTTTAATCATCTCTAAGCCAGCCACCAGACTAATAGTCATCATGGACTATTAGTCTGGTGGCTGGCTTAGAGATAATTACAGGTAATTATTGAATTAATCACTCGTAACAATTATATTGATAAAACGATATATTGTTCATCAATGACATACATAATGCAGAATGCCATGGTATATATGTTCCATTGCTCATTGTGTACTTTAAACCAGAAGAGTTTATTCTTTCTGTCATATACCCATGACCAGGTCTTCAAATTTTATCCATAATTTTTGACTCTTTGTTCTTCCCGTTGTCACTCTGAGATATGGGCTAGAAAAGTGGACAAATGAGTTTCTTAGGGGAACCTACATTGTTGGGATCCTCATGCCATTATAATGAATCACCAAGAAATAGAACACCTTTCTCCCAAATCAGAATACCATTACATTTGCCGTGTCGTCTTTAGCAATGCATCCAAAACATCAGTGT